CTTCAGTCAAAACTCTAAGATCTCTCAGCTCAACTTAAGTATAGAATGAGAGCTAAGAATACTAATTTCTAAGCAATGATATTTGTCTTTTCAATTTCCTTTACTTTGGATTGAGCCCTTTATTACATGTTGGTCTATTTTTTCACATTTGAAGACATGATTGTATGCTTCATGAAACATGAGAGGTTCTTTAGTCTACTGACATGTTTGCAAGTTTGATGGACTAGTCAATAATATATAGCATATAAATAAGTGAAATTAATTACCTTTCTTAATCTACTATTGGAATGAAATTGATCATTTGCAAATTGATAATCTAGAGATAACAATTCTTAAGCATTGAAAAGTTTAAATGTTTAGCTTGATTTGCAAAGATGATGAAGAGGTTGCTGATTATATTCTATGCATGGGACGAGTATTGCAAGCTGCTTTTGAGTATTGCATGGTTTCAAAGTTTAAATCAGTCATGTAGTTGCTGCTAATGTGGTTTAAAATTTTATTTTAGGGTTAAAACCCAATTATGAGCTTACGTCTTAATTCATCAAAAAAGATTATAAGTCTTTAAAAAGAGATAAAAGCTCACTAAAACTCAAAGAGCTGCATAATATTAAAAAAATAATAATAATTAGTATTGGTCCCAATCTACAGTACAAACCAAATAAAAAAAAAAGAAAGTTGATAATGAATTATGAAAACCCTTAAATAAAAGAAGCTAAACTCTTAAACATCGAGGCGCCTTTTGGTGTAATTGTTAGAATTTTATTAAGAAATTTCACAGTTAAGTGTCCTCATCCCAGAGCAATTCTAGGATGGGTAACCTACTGAGAAGTTACACAATCAGGACAAAACCATGAGACTTTTAAGCCAAAATAGACAATATCTCAATAGTTAAGAGTTTAGACTGTTACAAATGGTATCGAAGAAATACACCAACTAGAAGATGAAACTACTAAATGCCATACAAGACAAAGTGCTACACCATAGAAGCCACCTCTTCATTCTTGTATTTGACAAAATGCTACATGACGAGAGCAACCTCTTGAATTTGTAGGAGCCACACCTCTAGAATCATATCTTCCTTGTGCATGATTCTGGATAAAGATGTTGATGAGGACGTCAGTTACGCTTAAGTGGGGAGATTGTGGAACCTTTTAAGTAAAAGATGCTAAACTTTTAAATATCGATGCGCTTTTTAGTGTAATGATTAAAATTTCATTAAAAAACTTTGTAATTAAGCATGTTCATCTCAAAATAATTTTGGGATGACGACCTATTGAAAGTTACACTATCAGGACAAAACAGTACTGAGGCTCTTAGGCCAAAATGGGCAATATATCGATAGTTAAAAGTTTGGGATCATGTTACATAAACCCTTAAAAAAAAAAAAAAAAAAAAAAAAAAAAAAAAAAAAAAAAAAAAAACCTAGAAGAAACTCTCATGAAGTCTTAGATCCACCACTAGTAACACTAAATAAAATTCTTCAAATACCGGCGGCCTGTACCAGCGGTTATCTAACCGCTGATCCTAACGACGGTTTACCCGACGGTTAGGCCGCCGGTTATAAATATGTCAAGCCAAAATAATAAATCCACAACCATCATCTAACATATATCCTAGAAGAAAATTTATCTTGCAATAAACATAACCCAATACTACAAAAATAAAGAGTAGCCAAATTCTTAGAGCCAAGAAAAAAATATGGGAGACTGTAACCCAAATCAGGGAGGCTAGAATGCCACAAATGATCCACCCATCTCCATCCAAAGAATATCAACACAACTTATAAACCACAACTCAATGCAACACCCAATAGATAGAACAAAAGGAAGAAACAATAAGAGGGGATAATAGGCACCAGAGAATAGGCCAAAGTAGCAGGGCAAACCACAGAAATAGGACTTAAACATAAACAAAGATGAGACAGTAAGAAGAGTCATAAAAGTTAATTCTCAAAAAAAAAAAAAAATCAACTAAGAGGCCCATGACCAAAATTACCCAAAGGGACTATTAGAAAGCATAATTCACTAATGCATCCAACAAAAGCTGAGAAGCAAGGATCCTCAAATAACCACAACATAATAAAATTTGTAAACATTGGAAATATATATTACCTACACTCAGTGCGACTAGGGCCCCAACACCCAGATTCAAAGAAGCTATAAATGAAAAGCCACCAAAGAAATGGCCAAATACAATATAGCAAAATAATAAGAAAGGAAACATAATAACATATATAGAAGAAATATAGGAGTCACAGGGATGGAGTACGATAGCCTAGCTCAGACAAGTGTAATATCTAAAAATAAGCATATATTGAAAAAATCAGAATACCTACTGCTCATAGGAAATACAACCAAGAGAACAAGACTTAGGAAAAATTATGCTAAAAAAGCAGCAGAAATGGCCCAAGCAACAACCACACACAAAACTACCAACAGGCTACCCAAAAAGGAAATAACCACTATAAATGGTAACATAAAATTTCCATGCTATAGCCACAACCAAAGGAGGAATCCCACATTAAAAACCTCCCAACCGAGAAACAGAGGGAACCAAGGAGTTGTGGTATAACAAAATTTGCAATCGATGGTAAAAAAAACTTACAATCATAGCCATGATCCAACTCCAAAACTTCAACAACAGAGCATCAAGAGAAAAGAATAGGAAAATGCCAAGGCCAAAAAAATAATTTCATAAAAACCAAACAAAGCAAACCAAAGTTTGAAGAGGCCTAAAAAATTAATAGAGAGCTACCTTCTAATATAAGGAATGCCAAGAACATCAATATTATTTTTACCTTTTAAATTCTATGGGAGGTGTAAATATTGTAAAGAGCAGCGCCAGTAAAACTGCCAGAAAATTGTTAGAAAATATTACCGTCGGTTTTGATTTCCTACACAATTTATTCCGGCAGTTTTAAAATTTCCAGAAAACCTCCAAAAAATTTCAAAACTGCCAAAAAATTGACGCTTACCGCTGAAATCACTGCGAGCAATGGACAATTTTCCTGTAGTGAGAAAAAAAAGATCATAACCAATTTGTTTTTTATGCATAAACAATTTTAGGAGAGTCAACCATAGGTTTCAGAATAGCTAGAAAGGGGACTTTATAAACTCTGCATAAATTTCTAATGCGGTATCGAGTGTCAAGCTTACCAACACCCCAACATTTCAAATAATAGAACTAAAAATTAATAGCATTCTTAAGAAGAGCATTGGATCTTGTAATTCTAGCTTTACCCGACAACCCCATGCTGAAGCTCGTTTCTCTTTATATATTTTTTTCTTTATATTGAATGTTTCCTAAATGCCATAATCTTTAACCACATTGACAAGGTTGATATCCTCAAGCTTGTCAATGTCATTAAAAAAAATATTCCTCGTTAGCTGAATTAATCTCACCCTCCTTCCAATTAGACACTAATCGAGAAGAAGGAGAGAGACCCTAAGAATCAACGATAGGATCCACAGCCAAAACATGTTTGCCTTTATCAACCTATCGGGGTTAACCAAAGAGTCATAAGAAGATGAAGATTGGATCATAATGTTAACCATATGCACCAAAGAAGAAAGATTAAGAGAATCATAATTCACTACAGGAAAACAGCTCATTTCCGACAGAATTTCCGGCGGAAGTAAATTCCTTCCGGCGTAAAATAATTCGCCGGAAACATTTCCGGCGGATTTCCGACGAAATTTCCGCTGGAAAAATATTTCTGTCGAAATTTTTATACGCCGGAATGCCAAACAAAAAAAAAATTATATCAGACAGACCATTGCGCGCTCCGGCTGCTCCACGGACGACCACAGTATGAGAACCTTCAACATAGTTAACATTAATGGTAACATCCCCATTGTGAGATTTAATTAGAATGACCAACAAATCCATCACATCATTAGGATTAACAAGGTTAGGATTGACATCCATGACATGTTTAATACTAGAAAAAAAAATGTTTAATACTAGAAACCTAAAAAAACTCATCCACTGGCAATAGTATTATCAGCTTCTTGGATTGAGGGATTAATATTCACATTAAGCTCAACCTATTTTTATTTATTAATAGCAACCTTCCTCAAATGAGGATGTAGATGATAACACTCATGCTTAGCATGACCTAATGTTTTATAGTGATCACAAAATGATGGAAAGTCATTCATAATAATTTTTTGCGCTTGACTAAATTATTTAGACCCAACCAATGCTACTTGGATACTATTTTGTGATATCTAGCTCAACAAGCACTCTCACAACCGATGGTTTAGAGCCAACAAATGTAGCGTTATCCACTTGTAAAGGACGACCAAAAAGACTACCCAATTCGTGTAAAATTCTTGGAGAGAAAAATGATATCTAAGCTCAGGAAAAGAAATCCATATGGGAATAATAGGTGATTCAACCGAGATATCAAAAAAACGAGACCACTTAGTTAATTTAATAAAATAGTTGAAGACATAGTAAGATCTATGACCAAACACATGACTATAATCCATATCATTTTCCAATTTAATTAGCACATATCATGGATCTAAAAGAGTGATTGAAAGTTTCCTAAAAAGTTTTAGATTAAAGAAAAATTGACTAATCATATCCAGCTTAGGTCTACGGATAGTAAATTTTTCGATCAGGGGAAATTGAAAAGGTGCAGTTAATGCATCGACTTCTTCTTATGAAATCCATAGGGCCATCATTCCACAATGAGTTGTAGGTTTAAGATCAGAAAAAGGGGAAAGCATCATAAGATCCAGTAATAGTAACATTAAGAAAATCTAGATCCGAAAAAGAAATGTGATTAGATGCCATACTCATGGGGGGAACCCCTGAAGCAGGAGCAACCATAAAAAAAACTTAAAAATGTCAAGAAAATAAAAACTCAAGCGATCTTAAATATCACTATATATTTTTGGTCCAAAGAGTAAATTTTAATCATGAAGTTTAAATTTGAGGGTGCTAATATTGAATAGATAATGACTATTTGATAGAAAAATAGAAGAGAAAAATCATTAAACCTCTTTAATCAAAGAGCATAATATCTTGAGATATAAGTGTAGAAAACAATGTGATATACCAATAACTTCACTGTAAATTTACTTAGAGAATTTAAACTACTTCAAATATATAGACTAAAATTTCATGGCGCTTGATTCAGCTCCTAAGCTTTACTCTTTGTTGGTAAGCTACAAAGCAAATCACGTGCACATGTAAGAAAACTACCGACCCAAAGCTCTTTTGTGCTTTACGAATCTTAAAGGTCGACCTTCTCCTCTTTTCTCTCTCACTGTCTCTCTATAACACTCTCTCACTTGCACTTTGCAATCAAAAAGTCATAAAATACAGCCTTAAGGCTCTTTGATTTTTCAGTTACTTCATCTCTCTCTCTCTCTCTCCCTGCACCCTACTTTCACGCTCTTTTAGACTCTTTTTTTCCTTGTCTTCCTTCTTTTTCCTCTGATTCAAAAAATCAAAGGACTGTCTTCTTTTCATCACATCATCATCTTTTTCATGCAATGTTTGATCACTGTGGCCTTCCCAAAGTGAAATCAAGATTGAGCTTCTTTGAACTATTCTCTGAGAGGTAAGATGAGTTAAAATCTGAAAGCATATTCAAGCTTCTTGGTCGTATTTTGTTCTGCACCATAAGACCAATACAAGCATGATATTTTCTTAGAAAATTGTAAGATAAAAAAAAAGGGAGCAAGTGAAATTTGGTACCTCAAAGCAAGGCAAGCTTCCAATGGTTGACTCCTTTAGCTTGTCCGGGTAACAGTCTCCCCTGCTGCAGATATCATTCAACAAGCAGGGGGGCTATTATTTTCAACCAGTGAAGATTCTTGCGGAAAAAGGAAAAATAATAATGTTAACAGATAAAGGAGGCATATAGCCTTCTCTTCATAAGGGACTTTTTTTTATGCTACTGCTAAAAAATGATTGGATTTCATTCCAAAACATGTAGAAAGTGAATAAGTATAATTCCTATTTTTAGATTTCAATTTCCTAAAATTAAAAAATAAATACATTCAATTATAATTCATAGAGCTCTCTTTCGTTTTATCTTTTAACATACAACAATAATAAATTAATTTAATGTGTTTGAAAGGATGAGTTATGCTGTGGAAGAATTGATTAAGTGATCATGAAATTGACAACTGCTGAGTTTATATAAAATTAAATTAAATAAACATCACTCTTAACTTGTTTGATAAAACTCAAGAGATTAAGGCTTCGTTTGGCAGACTTTTTCACTGTTTTTTTAAAACAGTTTTTTATACACAATTTTCTTAAACTAAAAAGCTGCTTCAGAAAGCAGTAAAAAAGCTATCCCAAACAAAACCTAAATCTATTCACTTCTACATAGTTACATCAATGCTGATTGTAAGAAACAAAAAACAAAAAGAAAAGTTGTAATCCCATGTGATAGACCATTGCCCATAAAAAGAAACTACAAAGAAGTTTCAAGTATTGAAAGTCTTTTATACTAAGGTTCAGCTTCATAGTACTGTGGTAGCTAGGGACCCTTTTGCAAGCTTATAGATACCAACAAAATTCCAAAGGAGGAGAAAAGAGGATAGCTCTTTTGATGCAGACTTTAAAAAAAAGGCTTGTTTCTTGAAGTGGGAGATGAGATAGATTGGATTCTTAGTCTTTTTTTTGAACCACTAGAAAAAGATAATTGCACCATCATAGAGGTCTTCAATGCCTACCTGATCCTGGACAGATGGAACAAAGCTATGATACTTACTGCCTTTTGTGAGCACTTGCATGGAGATTGTTTTTAAATTTAGAGAAAGAGAATGAGGAGAACGTGGAAAGCTTTATATACTTAAATTATTCATCTGGCTGATGAGGATTTACATTTTGGTAATGGCTGCAGGTACTTTGGACGCTTAATCTTATGTTTATTCTTGGCCTTAGTGGAAAACAGTTAATCTTTTCCGAGAGGTTATTCTTCTCTTCCTAAGCAACTATATTTGTGCTTCTACTTTATTTTTATACTTTAATTAAGATCTTTGGTGTTCTGGAAGAACTTTAGATATGACTTTTGATAGATGAGAATCATTTTTATGATCACCTAAATCATTCCCAATATGTTTATTTTAATAAACTAATAATAATTATTGCACTTTTATTCACATCATTTAAAAATTAGGATTAAGGCTTTATTTGAGACGGTTTTCTTACTGCTTCATAAAGCAATTTTTTAGTACAAAAATTAAAACTAACGTATTAAAAAGCTACTTTAAGAAGTAATAAGAAAGCCATCCCAAACGAAGCATATTTTATTTTTTTAATCTTTGTTGATTGTGATTATTTGCAGCATTTTAGTGTCAGTGCTTTTGATCTTATAGAACACTTTTTTTTAATCACTATTTGTATGATTCCATCTTAGAAGTGTTTGTAAAATAGAATAAACATTAATCATAACATTAAAAGAATAACCAAAGATAAAAATAATTGTGACGATAATTAAATTTAGCTACAATATTTAGAAAAATTGGGATTATAACAAAACATTAGCATTGATAAAATTGTATGCATATTTAAAAATTCCTTTGCACTTTTCCTGCTTGAAAATGAGGAAAGCTTCTTTATTACTTTATATGATGATAGCAACCTTGATGTGAAAGGAAGTGCTAATCTTTCTCCAGAAACCGAATATATATGTTATTTAACATATTTGAATAATGAAACACCAAAATATAAATGAGATAAAAGTTCAGCTTGATGTGAATATGGTTTCACACTTCAAAGTTTTCTTATATGTATTTAAAAAATGGATTAAAATTTATATTACTGAGTAATTAAGCAAGAAAAACATGTTCTCATTGTTTATTAATGACTAATCATTCATCCACTATGCACAGCAACTTGAGATTTGTGCACTATATGTTGATGGCTGTTCTAAGTTTAATTTTTTTCTTAATAAGTACTTATTAAACAAAGCACCTTTGTTGTTAATTTTTTAATAGCCAAACTTAAGAAAATGCTTAATTATACCTTGAGGAACTGCTCCATAATCCATAAGATTTCGTGGAATTTTGATCTGCTGGCCTTAAGTTCTGAACTGAAGAGTGATCAGTTCCCGGGGAATTGTGAGAATCAAACAAGTTGTCGTCGGAGATCTCGATGGGCTCACTTTGACCTATATAATAAATATTATAAAAGATTTCTAAGATAAACAGTTCTATAGTTCATAAAAGAAGATTGGTGAAATACTGAAATGTCATAACGCTCATTGTTTCCTTGTCAAAATTCAGTTAAGCACAATAGTAAGGCAAAAAGATTTTATTTTAGGCTTTGTTTGGGGCGATTTTTTTATTACTTATTGAAGTAGCTTTTCAGTATAAAAATTAAAATTTTTTTACCAAAAAGTTGCTTCAAGAACTAGTAAAAAAACCGTCCCAAATGAGGCCTTAGTTGATAAATAAAATTTGAATAGAATATAGCGAGCCAAAGTTTTTACTGAGAACCTGAAGAAGTTGCGGCCTTATCAGTGGTCTTGACAGTTCGATACATCTGCAACATGCATGAATAGTTCAAAGCGTAGTTAAATTATAAGTAGGGGTTGGAATATTTAATCAAGTTTAGCACGTAATTAAAAGCTTAACATTTGGATTTATAAATTATATGTTACCTTCTTTGTGTAAATGTCATTTATCATAAGATTTTAATGTCATAAACATGTAGAAGCTAAGTTACCACAATTTGTTTGGAATTAAAAGGAAGCTATCTGTGCTTGCAGCTTTACATGCATTTATTATAAATACTATCATCTAAGATTATAGGCGTAGGTAGCTAAATAATTGTGTAATGATGGCACATTCGTACTTAATTAGGTTCTCTTTAAACTGTGGTTTTCGTTAACAGTGATTTTTGCAGTATTTTCTTCCGTCTTTTTTACCTTCAATGGTATGCTTTCTGCTTCACAAGGAAAAGCTGCTCCTGACTCTTGGAGCCCACAGCTCTCTATGTTGGGGAGAGATCAGGGCACAGAGATAGAGATAGAGATAGAGAGAGAGAAGGGGGAGGGGAAGAGAGAGAGAGGGGAGAGGGAGGAAGTACCCTGCAATGGCATAAAGAAAACAAAGAAAAAGAAAATGGAAGCAAAAGTCTAATATTTCATTGTAAAGAAAACAATTTTTTGTAAATGTTTGAATGTCGAATATCACAGGCAAGGTCGCAGATGTGATTTTACTATGGCAAAGAGCCAAAACAACAAGAATAAACAAAGCATGGAATAAAACAAAAGACGAGCAGCTAAAAAACCTAGTCAAGAGAGAGAATCGCTTATACAACAAAAACTAGAAGTCTAATTGCAAGGATTCAAAAGAGAGAAGAAAACGTAAAAAGAAACATCTCCACGATCCTACCTGCAGGTGCGATTTCACATGAGCCAAGGTGAGATCTTTCACATCCATAAGCTCGAGAACCGATTTTGGGGTCGCCCCTATGATAGGAGTTTATCAGAAAGGCAACTCAAAAAAAGTTTTTTTTTTTTTTTTCATTTTTTGCAGAACTTACTTTCATGTCCGCCGAGGAGCTCAACGGCATGAACGAAGCGAGCATGGAGAGTGGAAGTCCACCGCATCCTGGGCGCTCTCATGCTCCTCTTTGCTGGAAACCTCGGAAGAAACCTCGACGGCGACCTCGTGGAGTCGAAGAGGTGAACATGGTGAGGAGGTGGAAAAGGGAAGGATGGAGAGGTATGGTAGACTGGGATTCCGCGAATGGGTCGTAGAAAGGCGAGATCTTGGCGTTGGGATTCATGGAGTAAAGGAGGAGGATGTGAGATAGTTGCGGTTGAGGGAGAGGGATTTGTGAGGGAGAGGTCGAAACCGATGGTTCCCGCACCGTCGGAGGACTTCGCCGGCAGGAGGGGTGTGGCGGAGGCGGCGGTTCTTCTCCAAAATCCCAAGTCGATGGTTTCTTCTGTTGAGCCGTTACTCCATCTTGAACTCGGTTTGCTGCTGCTTGGAGGGCTTATCTGTAGTGAAAGGTCTGGTTGAGCTGGAAACAGCTCCATTGTTTGTCTTCTTTGGGATCAAAAGCAGAAGGGAAAGAACCTCTTTCTATCTCTTTTTCAAAACACACGCACAAACACGCTTCTCTTTTGTTACTGTTCTTACTTTGTTCTGCTTTCTCTGGTTTCAGATGATGCTAACTAGCTACTTGCTCCTTTAGTGTTGATCGTTTTAGTTCTTTTCTCTTGCACAGAATGAAGTGCGAGAAGAAGAGAGCTGTGATAAGAATGAAGGGCACTTGCGAAGGCAATGGAATTGGAGCTAGCTCTATGAAGAGGCTGAAAGGAGTGGAGGGCTATAATCACCCTTGAGAAGATGTGGTGAAAGTATTTGTTTCTTGCGTCCTTGTAGGAAGTATATGGTAGAAAATGACATTTGGAGAGAGAGAGAGAGAGAGAGAGAGAGAGAGAGAGAGAAATGAATGAGTGTTGATGGTTCGATTCCCTTTCACCCCAAGCTTGTGTATTTGTGATCTTTTGTAGGAAAAGGTAAAAAATTTAGTGTAAAGTCTTTAACTTGTGGGGAAGTGATTGCAAAAGAAGAGTTGCTGCTATGTCTCCAACCATAATGGTTAGCACCATTCAGTCGCTCACTCATTTAATTTGAAAGTTTGGTGGACTTTGTGTGCTATCACAATCACCTATTAATCCCCTCATGCTTCCGATTTTGAGAGATCCTCAAGCGATCATAATCCACAAAATAATATTTTTAAATAGCTGTTTTCAATAATTTTCTTCATTAAAACTTAATTGCTGTAGAAAACTATCCTGAAAGAAGCTTAAATTTGATCTCAGACCGCTATTTACTCTTAATTATTATTCAGTCATTTCTCTCTCAATCAGACTTTCCGAAACGGTACAAAAATACTTTATTCGTCCACATTTTCATTTGTTAGCCTGCTTTTTTCCTCATTGCCCTTTTTTGCTTATTTCCTTTTTCTTTTCCTGTTTTTAATAATATTTTTTTGTCTATGTCATCTTCTACGGCTGGAATGGAAAGTTGGGAGTCCACTTTTTTATGTCCATATGAACATTTAATTTTTCCTATGTTAAGTCCATTTCCATCTCATTTGTATTTCACCCCTTTATTCATATAATCAAATAATGTCAAGAGAACTTGCAATTCAATATATATGGATTTGGGATAAATTTTTTTTTGTGCGGAAACTGAACGCAGCTCTACATCCTGAGACCAACCAGAATGAGTCACGTTAGTAATATCGAGCGCGATACCGAACAGTAACGAGCCGCAGTACCGACGTGGCTCATTCTGATTGGTCTCTGGACGACTTTCGGCGTCCCCACAAAATAATTTCTCTAGATCTGGAGTGTTGATTGTTTTGAATAGTAACAAGAACACTGACAATTGAGGAAGAACAAAAAAAAAAGGCTATTACACATGATTTGATATTTTTTTAATAATTAATTAAAAAATGTACAACAAAGAAAATTAGTTTGCCCAAAAAAAAAACTGAAAAGTTTAATAGGTGTTGTATAAAATATATTTTGATGTGTAACGGGAGAAAAATAGTGAGAAAAAGTGGAGAGAGAGAGTGTGTGTAAGAGAAGATTTCCACTCATTCTCTCTCCTTATTTTATTTTTAAATTTTTATTTACCTTTTCTACTTATTGAATATGCCACCTATTATTTTTTGTCCAAAAATATATATATATTCCTTATTGTTTGCTCAAGTCTACATCCAATTTTGATTGTTGGGTGGTACCAACCTCAAATCAAAACACATTAAAACATTGCTATTTTTTTTGTTTTGATTTTTGTAGGTGGGCATAGAGCACATTCTTGAAGGAGATTGTTATAACTAAATTTGCATGGTAGCATAGTCACAATTGTAATTGGCTAAACTAAGAGTACTTTGATAGAAACATTAGGTAGAATGTCTTAAGATCTTTTGCATCATATTTTAATGAGATTTTCATATCTCATCGTAGTGATGATGAACATTATCTCAATTTGTTGTTTATTCAAGTTCATTGGTGTTTATTCTCTGTTTTAGATAATGTTAATGAGAATAATGAAGTGATTTCTAATGTTAGTGTGAAGGACCCTGATATCTATATTTCGATAGACTCTATGCTTAATTTAGCTAAAGATAATTTTGAAAATATGCCTAAGCAGGTGGTTGATTTATCGAATGTGAATGATAAATCTGAAACAGAGGGTTGTGAGGAAGGGGAATTTGTCCCTAACCCGAGTACTGAAATGGTTATGAATAATGTGGCTGTTGGGAACAAGGAAAAAAATGTTGCTACTATCGGTGCTGGAAACAAGGAAAAAAATGTTGCTACTATCGGTGCTGATTTGTCTTCTTTCTATGAAGAAAAAGGTGATTACACGAAGGTGGGAAGGAAAAAAGGTAAGGATGTTTTACCTTCTACGCCCCGTTCCACCAGAGCTAAAACTTTTTCAAAACCTTCTAATGGTTAACGCAATTATTTGGAACGTAAGAGGTATTGGAGGTAAATACTCTATTATTAGAGTTAAAAATATGTATAGGATTCATAATATTCAGCTCCTTGTTTTGCTTGAGCCTTTTGTTGCTAGAGAGAAACTTTCTATTATTGCTAAAAAGTTGGGTTTCTCTGCTTTTTTTGCTAACTGCTCTAACAAAATTTGGATTTTTTGGAAAGATGGGGTTGATTTAGATGTTATTGATGACTTTCATCAAGTTATTAATGTTCATATTTCTATTTTTAATTTTAACTGCAAAGCCTCTTTCATTTATGCTGCTACTACTAGAATTGGGCGGCTTGTTTTATGGGATCAGTTGAATAACTTTGCTATCACTTCGAATATGCCCTGGTTGGTTGGGGGAGATTTCAATATTATTAGTAATATGAATGAGAGAAGATCGAGGTGGTCGACCACCTAATGTTAATGTCATGGAAGACTTTAACTCTATGATAAATAGTTGTCATTTAAATGACATTGGTTATTTTGGGAATCCTTTCACTTGGAATAGAACCAACCTTTGGCAAAGACTTGATATAATTTTATTTAATAATGATTGGTTGAATAGCTTTCCTTTAACGCATGTGGAACACTTAAGTAGAGCTACTTTCGACCATGCTCCTTTACTTTTATGTATTAATGCTAATCGTAATATTGTTCCTGCTTCTTTTCGTTTTCAGAACATGTGGTTATCTCATAAAGATTTTAGCAATGTTATTAATTATAATTGGTCGGCTCCTATTGCTCCTAACAATAACATTTCTGGGATGCATAGGCTTTGGGCTAAATTGAACAGGTTGAAGCAAGTTTTAAGGTGGTGGAATAAAAATGTCTTTAAGAACATTTTTTCTAACATTAAAGATGCTGAGCAGGAAGTGACAGATTTAGAGAAAGGTATATGGATAGTCAGATTAGTGATAATAGTTATGCCCTTAATGAGGCTAAGAAGAATCTGGCTATTTTGCAAGAACAAGAGGAAACTTATTGGAAGCAAAAGGCTGCTACTAAATTAATTGTGGAGGGGGATAGAAATACTAAGTTCTTTCACATATTGGCAAACAAAAAAAGAGTTAAAAATCATATTTTTAAAATCATGGGGGAGGGAAAGGTGTTGTTTTTGACAAAGAGGAGGATATCATAGCTTCGGGTGTTGAATTTTTCAAGCAAATTTTCAATAAAGATACTAATACCATCCCTATTACTAATCCTTTCATTATTCCTAAGTGCATTAGTGATAATGACAATAACATGTTGATTAAGCATCCTTCTGAGGAGGAACTGTGGAATACCATTAAAAATATGAATAGTGAGTCTACTGCGGGCCCGGATGGTTTCACTATAAAATTCTTTGTGCATTCTTGGAACACTATCAAACTTGATGTTTTAGATGTTGTTAACGATTTCTTTAATGGTACGCCTTACCCGAAGTTTTTTTCTGCTACGAACATTGTCTTAATTCCTAAAAAGGAGGTGGCTAACATGTGGAATGATTTTCGTCCGATTAGTCTTTGCTCTTTCTTTAATAAACTTATTTCTAAATTTTTTGGCACTAGACTTGTTGACATTCTTCCTAGAATTATTTCTGTCAATCAAACGGGTTTCGTGAAAGGTAGAAGTATTTTTGATAATATTCTTCTTGTGCAAGAAATGATTCATGATATCAATTACAAGGGCAAAGGTGGTAACATCATTTATAAACTTGATATTTCTAAAGCTTACGACAATTTGAATTGGAATTATCTTTATAAGATTTTATCCTTATTTGGTTTTTTGTCAAACCTTTATCCAGTTGATCAAAAATAGTATTGAGAATTGTTTTTTTTTTCTGTTATTATAAATGGTGGTAAACATGGTTTTTTCAAATCTTCACAAGGTTTGAGACAAGGTGACCCCTTATCTCCGGCTTTGTTCATTGTAGCTATGGATTATCTTTCTAGAGGTATGGAGGAATTATACAAAGGGCATAAGTCTCTTTATTTTCGTACCAAGGGTGGATTACCGGTTTCTCATCTTTGCTTTGCTGATGATTTTATTATTTTATCTAATGGCGCCATTAACAATGTTAAACGTATGGCTATTTTTTTAATCAACTTTCAGAACATGAGTGGTTTGGAGATTAATAAGAACAAAAGCAACTTTTTGGTTTCTAAAGGTATTAGTCAAGGTAAGATCAATAATATTAAACACATTTGTGGTTTTAATTGTTTACATTTACCTATCAAATATTTAGGCACTCCTATTTTTAAAGGTAGAAAACGTAATCACATTTTTGAAGTCATTATATCTGCTTTTCATAAGAAGATTTAGAACTGGCATTCCAAGTTTCTCTCTTTTGGTGGTAGACTTATTTTGATTAAAAGCGTGCTTAATTATATTCCTATTTATATCTTGCATACTCTGAATCCCACTGTTTCGATTTGTTTAAGAATGGAAAGGTTGATTAACAAGTTTTTTTGGGGGGCTAATATGAATAGTAGTTGTATTTGTTGGTCTTCCTGGAAAAACATTTGTGGTTCTTTAAAAGAAGATGCTTTAGGGTGCAAAAACTTCATGGACATGGTCAAAGCTTTCTCGTACAAGCTTTGGTTTTCTTTTTGGTCTAATACTAGTCTTTGGGCTAATTTCATGCATGCTAAATATTGTAAAGACAAATCGGAAAATTGTGGCACTTATAAAAATTATGACTCTGTGGTTTGGAAAAGACTTTGTAAAATTAAATGGGAAGCAAAAAAATTTGATTCAATGGGTTCTTGGGAAAGATGACATTTATTTTTGGCAAGATAACTGGATTGGTTGTGATTCTATTGACTCTTTGTTAAATACTGCTACTACGACCAATACGAAGGTTTACGAGTTTTTTGAAAAGGGCAAGTGGAATGTTAAC